CGTCCACCACCATGCCCAGCTAATTTTTGTATTTTTAGTAGAGGCAGGGTTTCATCATGTTGGCCAGGCTGGTCTCAAACTCCTGGCCTCAAGTGATCCTCCTGCCTCGGCCTCCCAAAGTGCTGGGATTACAGGTGTGATTGTTGTTATTTTAGACAAGTGACTTTACTTCCCTGAGTCTCAGTTTGCCCATCTGTATAATGGGAGTTATGCTAGTCCCTACCTCATAGGGTGGCAGAGAATGAAATGAGGCCAGGGCTCAGAAGACGATAGCTGGTCCCCTGTCAGTGTGGGGTCAGGGGTGCTTTAGACAAGAGGGGGAGATAGAGCCCCCCAGAGGGAGAACCCAGGAGCTGGGGTACAGGGAGTGCTTGAAGGACCCCATTACCTCCTCCTTGGAAAACCTCTCCGCCTGCGTGGTCAGCATGTCCCGAACGCTGCAGAGAGAGGAAAGCAGGTGTTGGTGTCAGTTGTGCATGTGTAGTGGGGCAGGGGGGCAAGCAGGGAACCCCCTTCCTCCCCACAGACCCCACTCACTAATCAGCCTTCAGCACCCCTTTGCCTTCAGGGTCAAACACTTTGAATGCGTTGAGTATGGTTTCCTCAGGGTCCGCTCCTGAAACGGAACACAGGGGTTACATGTACTGGGGGTGGCTGGGAACCACTGGCACCCCAGGCAGCTGGGCCCAAGTTCCCCCAGAGATGAAGGGGCCAGAGCAAGGCTGCTTTGCATGGAGGAAAAATACCCTGCATTCATCTGACCCCTGAGCCTCTATTTTGAAAAAGAGGGCTGAGAACCCACGGTCAAACATCATCTAGATTCGAAAGCCTGGGATTCGAATCTTAACTCTGGCACTTGCTAGCCGTGTGGCCTCAGACAAGTGACTTTCTGTCTCTTAGTCTCAGTTCCCCATCTGTAACTGAGGATGAGAATAGAGCGTACCTCCTAGTTGCTGTTAAGTGGGGTAATGCGTATAAAGTGGTTAGCATGAGGTCTGACTTAGGTTAAGTCCTGGAGCAATGTTAGTTGCTGTGTTTTTGTTTTGTTTTGTTTTGTTTTGAGACAGAGTTTCACTTTGTTACCCAGGCTGGAGTGCAGTGGCACAATCTCGGCCCACTGCAACCTCCGCCATCCCGGTTCAAGGGATTCTCCTGCCTCAGCCTCCTGAGTACCTGAGACTACAGGTGTACACCACCGTGCCTGCTAATTTTTTGTGTGTTTTTAGTAGAGATGGGGTTTCACCATGTTGGCCAGGCTGGTCTTGAACTCCTGACCTCAAGTGATCCACCCACTTCGGCCTCTGAAAGTGCTGGGATTACAGGCATCAGCCACTGCGCCCAGCCAAATTGCTGTTTTCATTATTTTTTCCAATGGTGCTTTATCTCTTTTAAAGTTAACCATCTTCTGCCAGCCCCCCAAAGAAACATAGACACACACACACACGACCTTACCCTTGAGTTTCTCCCCAAACATTGTGAGGAACACAGTAAAGTTAATTGGACCTGGAGCCTCCTTGATCATTTCATCAATTTCTTCATTTTTCACGTTCACACGCCCTAGGGTAGGAAACACACACTCAGGGACTCAGAGCTGGGGGAGAAAGAGCCATTAAGACACTGCCATTGGCTCCTGGGATTCCACTTCAAGAAATCTAGTCTAGAAATAATCGGAGATGGGGTGGATGGGGGCAAATATCTTATGTGAGAAGATGTTCTTGACAGTGTTATTTATAATAACCAAATGACTGGAAGCAACCCTAACATCTGATGTGGGAAGGGGTTCATTATTTACTTATTTTTCTTTGAGACAGGGTCTAGCTCTGTCATCCAGGCTGGAGTGCAGTGATACAATCTTGACTCACTGTAACCTCCGTCTCCCAGGTTCAAGCGATTTTCGTGCCTCAGCCTCCTAAGTAGCTGGGATTGCAGGTGCACGCCACCGTGCCTGGCTAATTTTTGTAGTTTTTTGGAGAGATAGGGTTTTGTCATGTTGCCCAGGCAGGTCTCGAAGTGCTGGGTTCAAGTGATCTTCCAGCCTCCGCCTCCCAAAGTGCTGGGATTACAGGTGTGAGCCACCATGCCGGCCAGTTCGTTATATTTAAAATAGTGTCTTCAGAACCTGGAACATTTAATGCAGATATTTTCATTTTTCACTCAAATGGGAAAGGCTTGTATTGTAAATTAGCCCTTCACAGTTGGAGGCAGGAGAGACAGATCAGGATCACCTGAGGGAATTTTTTCAAGTTAAACCTGCTGTAACCCACAGCCTTGAAGGTTCTGATTTACCTGCTCTAGTCCTGCCACAAGCCTACCTTTGTGCAAATAAGAAAAATCTGTCACTTTTTAAGACAATGTATGTTTTAAGTATAAAAAGCTACACTCACTACAAATGTGAATAGTTCCCCGTAGAATTGTGCAGTGCACCGTCTGCACAGCTGTGTATGGTTGCCCTGAGTTCTAAGGTTAGGAGTAAGAGGCGGTGGTGGGTAGCAGATTAGGCATGTATATTTTGAAGAGACTCCATGTACTTGTGCTCACACTGTTGAGATGATACATTTTAGAAGATGAATTCAAAAGAGAATGATTCCTATAATTTAAAAAACTAAAACCCAAACCTAACAGACATGTCTAGAAAGACTTAGAGGAAAGAGACTGGAATGTTCACAGTGGAATATGACCTTCTGGGTGATGTCATTTTCTTCTTTATACTTTTCTGCATTTTTCCCCATTTTCTGTTGTGAGCTGACATTGCATTCAAAATCACACAAAAAAGTTATTTCAGGAGATAAAAGATATCTGAAGACACTCAAAGGCTAAACACTTCTTTCCCATCCCCTGAAATTTGTCTTAAAGAGCAGTTGTGGTGGAGTTGTTTCTTTGGGAAATGACACCCATCTTGGGCTTTTCTGATGGTCCCACCTTGTGCTCCTCATGGATGTGAGATAAAGAGACCCTCCTGCAGGGCTAGAGGGTGCAACATACCAAGGGCAGCAAAGGTGTCTCTCAGATCGTTCTTGTCGATGAAGCCATCCCTGTTCTGGTCCATGATAGTGAAGGCCTGTGGAAGGGAAGTGATTGGCAGCTCAGCCTGGGAGAAACTGGCAGAGTTGCCCAAGAAGTTGGGCCAAGGACTTGGCAGGAGTGGATTCTGGGATCTTCAAAGATCATTGCAGGACCTCAGATCAAAAGTCAACAATTGAAGATAATCCAACAATTTCTTCAAAATGTTAGGCCTCGTGTTATCATATGACCCAGACATTCCACTGCTAGATATATACCCAAGAGAATTGAAAACATGTCCACATAAAAGCCTGTACACAAGGCTAGGCATGGTGGCTCATGCCTATAATCCCAGCACTTTGGGAGGCCTAGGCTGGTGGGTCACTTGAGGTCGGGAGTTCAAGACCAGCCTGGCCAACATGGTGAAACCCCATCTCTATGAAAAATAGAAAAATTAGCCAGGCGTGGTGGCGCATGCCTGTAATCCTAGCTACTCGGGAGGCTGAGGCAGGAGAATTGCTTGAACCCGGGAGGCAGAGCTTGCAGTGAGCTGAGATCATGCCACTGAACTCCAACCTGGATGACAGAGCAAGACTCCATCTTGGAAAACAAAAACAAAAACAAAAACAACCTGAACACAAATGTGTGTAACAGCATTGTTCACAGTAGCCCAAAACTGAAAGCAACCTACATGTCCATCAGCTGATGAATGGATAAACCAAATGTGGTCTGTCCATACAATGGAATATTATTCAGCCATAAAAAGGAAGGAAATTCCTACAAAGATTACAACATGGATGAGCCTTAAAACATATGTGAAAGAAGTCTGACACAAATACCACATATTGTATGATTCAATTTCTATGAAATGTCCAGAACAAGAAATTCATGGAGACAGAAAATGGATTAGCGGTTGCCAGGGGCTGGTGGGAGAGGGAGGAGCAGGAAGTGACTGCTAATGGGTATGGGGTTTCTTTCTGGGGTGATGGAAATATTCTGAAAGTAGATAGTGGTGATGGTTGCACAACTTTGTGAGTATACTACAAACTACAAAACAGCACACTTAAAAGATGAATTTTATGATATGCAAATTATACCCCTATAAAGCTATTTATTTATTTATGAGAAAGAGTCTTGCTAGGTCGCCCAGGCTGCAGTGCAATCTGGTGTGATCTCGACTCACTGCAACCTCCACCTCCCGAGTTCAAGCGATTCTCCTGCCTCAGCCTCCCGAGTAGCTGGGACTGTAGACACGCACCACCAATGCCCAGTTTATTTTTGTTTAGTAGAGTCAGGGTTTTACCATGTTGGCCAGGCTGGTCTCAAACTCCTGACCTCAAGTGATCTGCCCACCTCGGCCTTCCAAAGTGCTGGGATTACAGGTATGAGCCACTGTGCCTGGCCCATGGTTCCTCATTTGTGAAATACTTGGGCATTTATAAAGTTCTGAGAACCTCCCTGGCCGCCAGCTGAGACAGATTACTGGTCCCATTTTACAGGCAGGGCAGGCTAGGGAGTGGGGAGGTCAGATGAAACACCAGTTTTTAGCTTTTTAAAAAAATAATAGCTTTAGGCCAGGTGCAGTGGCTCACGCCTGTAATCCCAGCACTTTGGAGGCCAAGGCAGAAGGATCACTTGAGGCTAGGAGTTTGAGACCAGCCTGGCTAACACAGTGAAACCCTGTCTCTAGTAAAAATACAAAAAAATTAGCCAGGCATGGTGGTGAGTACCTGTAATCCCATTTACTCAGACAAACAAACAACAAACAAACAAAACCAAATGGGGAATCCTGGCTACGTGTTTTGAGCTCTTTGCATCCCCTGCCCACACCCCCCGTAGCTGATTCCGGAGGTTGGGAAAAGAGGCGGGTGTAGCTTTCTCCCTGGAAGGTGACTATCTCAAGTTCAGATATGACACTTGTCTCAGGAATTTCTCTTTCCCTATGGGACACAGCATTCCTGCAATCTGAATGTTAGTGAGGACAAAAGGTACAACTGCTCATTTCCTGTTTCGAAGCCCCAAATGGTTTCCCCTTTGATATAAAGCACGTTAGGGCAGGGTGTAGCGGCTCACGCCTGTAATCCCAGCACTTTGGGAGGTCAAGGCAGGAGAATTGCTTGAGCCCAGGAGTTTGAGACCAACCTGGGCAACACAGGGGGACTCAATCTTTACAAAAATCACAAAAATTAACTGGGCACGGTGGTGTATACCTGTGGTCCCAGCTACTCAGGAGGCTGAGGTGGGAGGATCAATTAATCTGGGAGGTTGAAGCTGCAGGGAGCCATGGTTGTGCCACTGCACTCCAGGCTGGGTGACAGAGCCAGACTCTGCCACACACACACACACACACACACACACACACACAAAAGCAGACTGATCTCTTTAGCATCATTTTAGCATAGTTCCCTCTGGACAGCCAGGTAGTAATGTGGATGAGTCAGTGTGAGCCCTCACAACTGCTGGAAAATGAGTTCCGAGCCTGTCCTTCCAAGCCTGTGTGCAGTTTGGTCTAATTGGTACTTGGGTTCTCTTCATAAGGTCCATTGCCATCGAATGCGATGGGGTTTCAAAC